CTATGTAACTGAGGGCCACATATCAGTAATCAAGCTGGAATATTGGCATGGATACTCTTGTATGGAATACAAACAAGGATCTCACTGAACTTTATTGACTTTGTCAAGGCCTTTGACACTATGGAAGATAGCTCAGCCTTTGGAATCCCATCTCAATTCATGGACACTGCAGCCTGTACCAAGACTCTCACTGCTGTGTATGGATGGAAGAAGGGGCAACGGATTTCTTCGCGATAAAAACTGGCGTACGACAAGGTTGCAGGGCTCGCAAAATCGCTAGCCCGACATCCCGGGGCTATTGTATTTTCCAGTCGGGCTACCAAAATGTATCACTGCCCTGCCCGGCCAGCTATCTTGAATAGTGATATAAAATCCCTTCCTTGATTCGCGTTGTTCACTCGCTTGTAGGGGTGAAACGGATCATAGTTTATCATTCACACGTGTTTCTAAGTCTTACCGATTTAAACATTCAAGCGTTTCAAACCATTCATGCGCATGAAGAATTCAGTTCGGTGCTCGAGCGCACACGCTCAAAGCCGCAAATACAGAGCGGCGTTTCAGGCAGAGCACGAACACAGAATTGATTCCTCTTTCGCTTGAACGGACACATACATGCAAAATTATCTCAAAATAACTATCTTGGCAAGCATTTTCATATGTCTTGAATGTAAACAGTGGAGAAAGAACTCGCACGTGCATCATTATATTGGATCCTTGCATTCGGTCTTAAAGGGGCAGCAGCCTATAAATACCTGCTGTTTAAGCGCCACCTGCTGTCAGAGAGTGACATTTGCGTCTCATTCAGCCCGTCTGCTGTTTTTGTTTCGTTCAGATTTTTTATGTAGTATCACAACGCTAAAGTCAGACCATTTTGTTTTTGTTTCAAATTTCAAAATTTAACAATCTCAATAACATGTATGCAGCATCTTTGTTTGGATCGTAATTAAAATACACAGGCAAAACCTTAGCTTACTTGCATGGAGTTATTTCTTTTATTTGTATTATTTCTTTATTTGATTTGGAATTTGTTTTCAGGTTAATTTCAAGTTAGTATATTGTTTGACATTTTCAATTTCACAAAG